TATCGTGCTAATTAATCGTATTTTTATAATCTGGAATCACCTGCTACTTATAAGGCAATACATCACGGCACTAAAAACTTGGCTTTTAGTAAATAACTTTACAGCAGTAACTATGAACAATTATTCAAAATAAACAACCTCCTTTGATCATAAATAAACATTGCTTTTAACAACAATATTTAGGTACCGCTAATAAAATGTAAGCAATATTTCCAGACCCCAATGTTATGATATGTCGACACGTCTGTCTCGCTCGACTGCTCCCTACAGATTCCTAGACGTTTACCTTTATTGATAAAAAAACGCCCGCCCAGTCGGGCGTTAAGAGGGGCCGAATACGATGCGATTGCAACTTACGGATGTTTGCAATACGCTATTTTGATCTTTTTTCTGTTTCACTTAACATGGGACGTATGAGTTTTGTACAATACTTTAGATCGCGGAGCATTTTTAAGGTTCCGTACATGATAGGAAAAAAGGAACCCTTATAGGATCGCTTTTTTATTGTACTTCTAGCTGTCGCCCGCGACTCCTTCCGCCCGGAATAAAAAAATAAGTATGCTATATGTTCTGCCAGACTATATTCATTCAGCAGTTTTAGAGATACCTTGGAACTATCATCCATCCACCCACCCATCCATCTAAACATTTGTATTCATAATATTAGTAAGATATGTACAAGTTATATTAAAACCATACTTAAAAAAGGGATAACACAGAAGGGTTCACTAAACGTCGGTTTCTGAGACCCAAATACCTGTATAAATATATCATCACGGTTATTATCTTTGACAAAATAGACATAACAAGACAAAGTGAAGACTAATATTAACTAAATACGCTACGACTTAGGGTCCTTCAAGAAGCGAGCTTATCACCAACGCATCTGCGGTTCCTCTGGTATTGCTGATGACCATGGGCGTCGTTGAACACCTCGGTTTTCGCGCTGCTCGTTTGCTCCCTTCTGTTATAAAAAAGCTAGTTAAGTTGTTTTATATGTCCTTCATAAATCTTGTCTCTATAAACAAAAGACAATAATTTAAAAATTAAACCAAAAAATTCTTACAAATGAAAGCAATAAAAAGTTGAATTTCTTACAAATTAAAGCAAAGGATAAAGTGTGAAATACTATAGCAGATAAAGAATAAAATTATTACTTTTCGATATCGATGTACTTTGTAATTTACTTCCAAATATATTTGTAAAGATATCACTAATAAAATTATAGTTTTGACCGGATTTTATCAGGAAAAGTTACTGTCCGAGTTATAATTATTAAAAGCTTTAGCGGCTAATACCGATATAATTAATACCAACTTAATTACGAATTTATTTAATTTTATCTTAAGAAAAACGTACCGAAGCAAGTAGTTATTTACATAATTTGATTACCTCTAACCAGTTTTATTAACGAATAAGAACATTAAGGTTGTATTATATAATATCTTATGTGTTAGGGCGAGTTAAATAAACAAGGCACCTCACTTTCCATGAAAAGTGGCAAATGTGTCTACTAATGAACAATTTTCAGTCTTTAATTTTTTAATAATTTCTTAATTTACCTATGAACAAATTAATTTTATACGCAAAGTAATCTTATGTTAACATATGATTAACCATACTTATAAATTAAAATATATAATATAATAAATGTCAAAGTTAGGATGGATGTATGAATGTTAGTTACTACGTTATTCCAGAACGACATAACGGATATGTGTTGTAGATGTACAGAGATCTTACTATTATTTTAAATGCGAATGTTTGGATGGACGGATGAATGTTTTTAGAAGGTATCTCCAGAACATCTCGATGGATCTCGCTGAAATTTGGTATAGATGTAGAATATAATCTGGAAGAACACGTAAGCTACTAATTACGTTCCGATCGAGATTCGCGTGGTAATAAATATTCGCAAATCAGATCGCTGGCAATAGCTAGTATTATTAATAAAATTCATAGCGTAAATTGTTTCACTTTAGGACTTCATGCACAGAGCAATTTGCCGGCGGTGGCAGTGGCGGTGTACCAGTAAATCCACATCAACGTCACGAAGCTACTGTAACGCAGTTTACAGGCGCGCGTAACGCCAACACCTCTCTGCATCTTAATTAGTCTGCGCAACAAACTTAGACACGTAATTAGCTACAACTTGTACTAATTTATGCTAAATTAATTTATTTTTCTCTTTTACGTTATTGCTGTAAATCTTTGTCTAATTTTAATATTACTAAAGAGGTGTTGAGAAAACGTTTGTACAACATAAGGTCCTTGCACCTCTTTCATATTTAAATATCTACTTATAATATACGTAGATATTTAAAGTGGGCCATTCCTATTACGTAGCCTATTGGGGCCAGTTAGTAGCTACATTGGTAATTGTCAACTAACGTAACTTGATAGAACTTTCGTAATTTTTTTATGTCTTAAGCTATGCTTATTAGACGAAAGTTTTGTTATTGACAAACATCTATGGGAGGACAAAAATATTTCTATAGATTAATTGGTAATAAGCTTGGTAACTCACTTGCCTGGGTATTCCATTGTAACAATCATCTCCCACGGACAATTTATTTGGTAAATGTGTTTTTGTCAAATGAATATAAATCATGCTATAATCGTATATATAAAATTCTCGTCTTATATATAAAATTCTCGTGTCACAATTTTCATTCCCATACTCCTCCGAAACGGCTTGACCGGTTCTCATGAAATTTTGTGAGCAAATTGAGTAGGTCTGAGAATCGGCCAACATCTATTTTTAATCCCGCGCGGACGGAGTCGCGGGCGACAGCTAGTCATATTATAAAAGAATGAATGAAAGACAAAGTATTGAAATTAGAAAAAAACTGTCGCTTACAAAGATTGTTTAAGGCTGTCTTTACCGATTGCTTAAAACAGCTCTTGTATGGCGGCCTTTACTCATATCTTCGAAAATAAAAAGAACATCATCATAAACTAGGATATTTGTAAACATTCGAAAGATATAAAAACGATATTTAAAATTATTTATAAACATCACGTATACTATTGCCCATAAAAATGAATCCAACAGTGACAATTCCAATATGCCCTTTCACCTACAAACCCAATAAGCTAACACGTAAATTTCCAAGTATTACGTGAGCATGTTACAGGCACCTTGACACATGACCCGATACATACACTCGCACGTGATTTGTTTGCCTAACCAAATTATATCAAAGATTATTCAAGAACGAAAGCTGACATGGTATAAAAGAAAGTATAAATCGAAGACTCTGGGAGACAATGTCTAAAATATTAAAGTTATAATATGCTCTGTTGTAGACAAATGCATTTTAATCAACACCAAAGAACTTGATTATTATTATCTTTCATCCGGGCGTCCAGTAATTAAAAAATCGATGGTTTCAGAAAACACTTTTACATCTATTAAAAAACAATGGGATATTATTTAAATGAATAATATTAGATTTATAAGTCGTTTAGCATTGTCGTGTCTGGTTTATTTATTCTATAATACTATTATCAATCCATAAGGGCATTCTCGCATTGGTAGCTATCGTAAAAATAATACGATTCTATGTTTTACCTTCCTCGTAGATTTCCTCAAATTGATTTGGTCTCAGTACCTCTTGAGAATAGTCTTTAGATGATATCAATTAGCGTATTTTTCTTGTTTTCTTTATTTCTGCGAAAGCTACTGTGAGTTTGGCTGCCGTCCCTTTAAGTAGTACGTGAAAAAGTTTTTTTTTTTTAAATTTGTTAATGTACTTTAATTGAAATACGAAAAAGGAATTACTTTTAAACACGACACGTTCCTTGCATCTAAAAATTGAAAATGCGTTTTATTTCATAATAAAGACCAACTTTTTTTTAAAGCTGAAAGAATGAGAAGTTTTCTTGATTATAAAAATATGTAACTAAGGTTATTCATTTCGATTAGTTGTTTCGTTTAAAAGAAAGACCTTTATAATTTGCAATCAATATTACGTTGTATGTAAGAACTTGCCCCTTGATTTCTAGTAAATGAAATATTTATTGCACGTCAATAAAACGTCAATTTTCCATACAACCCCGGGGTGCAATATAACGTGTTCCCCATCAACCCCTAAATACATATTGCTACTACGCTCATTGTATTCACTTGACTTTGAACTCATGAAATACACAAAGGAAATTGAAAATTGATTTATAAATAAATTCTATTTTGTTGTGTTTTTTCCAATTTTTCTGTTACATACGTACAAGATGCAGATCAATAACTACCTAAATTGTTCTGATTTAAGTTAAATTAAATAATTATTCGTTCGAATTGTTGAATCTTAAATTTTATCGAAATTTGTTCGGAGAAGTTTGAATTTGCAACGTCTTGTAAGAGAACAGGGGTTGCACTAGCTAGACTTTTGCGCCAATTTATTCTGATAAACGAAATCGAATTTATCAAAGAGGGGAACGTTGTAGTATTTTTGTAAGTTGACAGGCAGTGTTACTGCTACAGGGTACTTCCATTTGCTTTATAAGTAAAACTATTTATATAAATTTAGAACGCTTTTTTAGCTTCATTTTCTTTAAACACTGTTTTAAACTAACTTGACATCTAAAAACACATAGAACTAAACACTTACCGTCGTAATTTAAAGTGAGGTAAATATAAAATATACAAATAAAATAATTTTGTTTTAGTAAAATAAGTTTATTGTTTAAATTGAGTTTATTCAAAATAAGTATCATCAACAAATAAAAGAATTTTATACTCCCTTACTACATTTATAGACGCGCCATCTTGTATTACCTATCAGCAACTATTTGACGACATCCTCCTTTTTAGGGAATCATTATGTTGCCATGTTCCAATTTTTACATTCGTTTTGAGACTAGATTAGAACCTATGGCACCACGATTTAAAAATTTTATCACCAGCCGCAGGAAATGTAAATATAAAAAATAATCCAAACATAACAAATTACTGAAAGTAAAATGGTTCTTGCAACTTGCAACCCAAGTATGACGTTAGTCAATCAACTTTTCGAAGTATTGATCAAATGTTCAAGGCGGAAAATAATAAAAACACTTGTCGCACTCAGTTTAGTTTATTCTTTAATCAGTGCGTGCAGTGTGATTTGCAAAAATATCAATTTTCTTTCGCATATCATAAAACAAATAATTAAAATTATAAAGCAGCGCTTCTAATGTATTGAAAAGGGCGACGTATTAGAGTAACACTCAATATTTGAGCTCGTTTTAATATTTACACATTACATTATTCCTTCTAATCATGAAGATTTTTGCTCTCGTCGCCACGTCTTTGGTGGTTTTAGCTTCGAGTGTGTTTGCATATGAAGTCGAAACATATGATTTTCTTATGCCAAATGTGTGGCCTCATAAGGTAAAATTATTAATTCATTTATACTAAGATTTTTATAACATAAAATAATATATGTTCGCACTTAACCTGTTCTGCAAGTAAAGTATTCTTCTAATTTACATACAGGTGTTCTAAACATAAAAAGTAAAAAAGGACTGAATCCTAACAAATAGTATCAACCTGTAAATCTTAATCATGTTTAAATATAGAGTGAAATGGTCTACACAGTTTTTTACCTGTACTATGCTCCTTCAACTAAATTTACAAATATTATCTATATTGAGACTCCAATTACAAAGAAGTTAATAGATAAGATAAGGTTTATGAGTGGGGGGAAAATGAGAGTCTCTTTAAATTACACTCTTGTTGAAATATTCACAGTTACTTAGAAAAATACATTTTGAGTTGGTTGCATGATGTCTAGAGATTGCGGTCAACGCTGGCTTATTTAATATGTAAAAAATAGTAGCTTTATTTGCTTGCTTATAGTTATTATCTAAACAGGACATTAGCCCATATTATTTTCAGCAGCCCTAATATACTGTTATTACTGTAGCTATATTATTATATCAAATAATAATAATATACAGTTGAATATTAATATTTATCTGTCCATTTAAAAATCTTATAACATAACCAATGGAATCTTTCTTTACTACATCTTCTTACCTTATCATGAGTAAAAAAACAATGTTTTGTGTGAGTTAAATTAAAAATTTCCATGCTACAATATTGCCATGTTCCATTCAATAAGATTCACTTGAACAATTCACATATTGTTGATAAAACATGAATGGTTATAATGAATATAACATGGCCTGAAATTATTTATATCAACAAATAAAATATTCTTTGACTGTGAGATATGGCAACATCTGCAAAATATTTGAAAACCAATAGCATTAGTTTTCGAATTTTTTTTGGTACAAAAACCTAGGTCAGGCATTAAGTATTGATTTGTAATCTGCAGGACCTTTGTTTTCTTTTTTTGGGCCGTGGATGAGAGCGAAAGCGTGCCCGTGGTCCCGTCCCGATGCGTTGGGGGAACAGAGAGGTTTAGTGGGTATGCCTCCGCTATGGAGGAGAATACCACATAACTACCGCATCCCCCCGGGGCGCCGAGTATCCATAAAGCATTCCACTCTGAAAAAAAAGGACCTTTGTTTTGTTGCTTGAGTAATCTTTAATTTAGTATTTCTTTTTCAGTAAAAAGCCCCGGGGGCCAGTACAATGTTATAATTAAAATAACATTCCTAACACTCGATAAACTAGTGTAAATATTTATGATTGAAGATTAAACAGTTTACATTCTGAAGTGATTATCTATTGACCCACATTGATCATTAAAGCCAGCTACACACCTTTAGTTTTAGCTGAACAGTCATTTAGTTTAAAACATGTGAAGGAAATACTTAACTGTCAAATTGAATGTCTTTAATAAATTTTTTTTCAGGATGAACTGTATCTCTGTACGCCCATACGTATTTCACCGAGCACAAACTTTTACATAGGTTTGTTGTTTGTTTATTTAAATCAACAATCATGAGACATGATTAATTTATGTTTACTATATATACAATATAGTTATGTTTGAACAATGTATTATTGAACTGAAAATCAAGTTTAATTGAAGAATTTTTAATACATGCATATTTCTGTGTTGTTATAATTGAGCGTTGATGGCTCAGTGGTTTAAGGACTTGACTTGTAATCTGCAGGTCCTGGGTTCAAATCCCGCTATGTAAACAATGTGTTCTTCGATTTCAATTTACATATGTACATTTATCCGATGTTCTTACGGCAAAGGAAAACATCGCGATGCTGCACATATCTGTGAACAAATTCAAAGGTATGTGTGAAGTCAACCAACCTGTATTGGGCCAGCATGGTTGACTATGGCCTAATCAACCATAACTTAGGGTAGGCTCCGAGCCCCTCGGTGGGGACGTATAGTGAGCTGATGATGATGAATGATATTTCTGTGGCTTCTATCAATACAATAATATGATTCTAATGCAAATTTTTATTAAAGACAATGGAGGCGCATATTCTAATTTGAAATGTACTATATATGTACCAATGTCTCCAGATTTTTAATTTACATTTATTTTTCAACAGTTGGATTCCAACCGAAAGCTTCAATGCATACGGCTCATCATATGTTATTGTATGGTTGTTTACAACCTGGGGGCAATGAATCTGTTTGGTGAGTTATTTTTCTTTTTATAACGAATAGTACTTGACCACAAATCCTCCTGATGGTTAATGGGGATTTGGTCAAAGGATGGTACACACTAGCTTAGTATTTACCAAGCTAGTGTGTACCATCCTTATTCACACTACTTACGATGTTACCTAATTATTTAATATACATACTTCTCTTCTGGTTATCTGTCGATTAAAGAGCAGTTTAATTGAAATATACGTTTTAAAATTATTTAACAAAAGACAAAATGATACGTTATATCTTTGATATTTACCACAATAAGAGTTTCTAGAAGTTTCTAGAATTTTTCGTATCATTCAATATAGAACTATGCAGAAGAAATTGTGCAATATTACAATTGTAATACGTCCCTCGAATTGCGTCGGTTATTTGAAGGTTAAACGACGGATCGATACAGCTCTCGACATGAGTGACGCAGCGAGCTTTCCAATATCTCGTATCTCATTCCTGCTTTCAAATGTCTGCCCTATTGATCGATCAAATCTATAATTAGAATACCATTCTAGTATCATGAAACTTTTATTTCAATTTAAATTTTATTTTTATTCAATAAAAGACTTAACGAAAGAGTCTCGAATGGATTTTTTTTATATTTTATCCTTTATTTCATGTTATCTACGAAACGAATCTAATATAAGTAGACAAAATTATAGAAATGTTTAAGTCAACAAAAATTTATGACCTGCAGATCAGATCACTGTTGAATTTTGTGAAATTGATCAGTGAACCGACTCGCAGCTCAGTTCAATTTGTACTTGCATCGAGTTATGATTTGCGGTTCGAGCTGTAAACTGCTAGTCGCTGGATGACACACATAGTTTTAGTACATTACGATGATCTGTGAGTTGCTAATTTAGTCGTTGAATCGCAACTCAACTGTTTATGTGAGCTGAATTGTTAAACCGGTACAGAGCTGCTTAACACATGGCTTACAAAGTATGAAAGTACCAGTCGCAGAGACATTAAGGTGTAAACTTTAGCATGACATAGGCATGTCATGAGAATAGGGTGAATGGCCTAAAAATTGACCTGCTGACGTATTAGGCCTTTACTAATATTATTAAACTATGAGATGTCTCATCCATTGAATAGCCAAGACAATGTTTATAGTAACATACTCTGTAAGACATACGTTATATTATCATTGTATTAAACAGTGTGATTGTTTTAGGAACTGCGGTGAAATGCAAAACGATGATTCCGATAATCTTTATACTAGAGCCAACCCATGCAGTTCGGGATCTCAGGTATGTATCTACAAATATGGGTTCGTTTTCATAGACATGTTACTTACTATGGGCGTCGCCAGGAGGGAAGGGGAGTAACTCCCCCGCCCCACGGATAACAGAAAAATATCAAATAGATATATAAACTACTTAAAACTACTAAGCCTACTTACAATCTCTATAGATCTACATAGATAACTCAAAAACTACTTGTCAGTTTTTCACACTACCTAGCTCCTATTTGAAAAAATAATTACTACCTCTCGATCTAGTTTAGATCATCGGCTAGCGAGGCTCTTTGTACTCACAGAATTTATTTGAAACTTGATACCAAAATCCAAGATAATATGAATTTCATATTATCTGAAAATGATTTTTTTTTTTATTTCAATAGAACAAATATGAGACAAGCGTTTACGCCTATTTGCTGATACTTTATTTGACACGTAGACAACAAGAGTACTCTTCTGATCGATGTGCCAACTCAAACGGTACTTCACATTAAGCTTAAAAAAAATGAGATATTGTAACCTTTAATGTTGACTTTAACAGATAGTGTACGCGTGGGCTCGTGACGCGCCGAGTCTGCATCTACCTACTGATGTGGGATTCCTGGTCGGTGGGGATTCCCCCATTCAGTACATGGTGTTGCAAGTTCACTATATGAGTAAATTCCCAGGTTTGTTCATCTTTTAAAAACATATTTAACTCTGTACTTAATTATGCATTCATATTTTAAAATGTTAACATTTGGAAACAATTCAAAAAAAAATAATTTCTTTCCGAGTTGGTTGGTAATTTCACGCTGTTAAATAAGATTATTGAAAATAAATGTAAAAATTATTTATTACGTTGCATATCTAAGCATATTTTTTTATTTGAAGTATATAATAGCTTATTGGTTATATAATTCTTATAAACTAACTGCCAAAACTTTTATTCAGTTTAAAATAAAACAACGAAATTAAGCATTCAATTTTACTGATGTACATTTATCATATTTTCAGAGGGAAAGACTGACAATTCGGGAGTGTATCTTCAATATACCAAAGAACGGTACGTATACGACACATCGACTACTAATTAAGTTTTTTTAGGGTTCCGTACCTCAAAACGAAAATAACGGAATATTTATAGGATCATTTTGTTGTCCGTCCGTCTGTCAAGACCCTTTTTTTTAAAACTCCGCAACTCCACTTTATCCGACGTTCTTACGGTGAAGGAAAACATCGTGATGTAATCTGCACTTATCTGCGAAGATGTGTGTGAAGTTAACCCGCACTGGACCAGCGTGGTTGACTATGGCCTAGTCACCACTAAAAGCAATCCCATATAATCGCTTATCCATTATATCATTGTACCAACTCGTTTCCAGTATGCGACGTCAGGCAGGCGTGCTGTTGCTGGGTACGGGCGGGTACATTCTGCCCAACCGTGTGGAGCACATGGAGACCGCCTGCCCCATCATAGAGGACAAAGTCATACATCCCTTCGCTTTCCGCACACACACGCACTCTTTAGGTGAGTTTAATGGACGTTCAAATCAATTTTCAGCACTGGTTTAATGTATCTTAAGAATGTGTAAACCTTGTCATTATTGTGACTTCATAGTTCTGGGAGTCTAAAAATAAAGTCAATACAACATTTTTATGCCAATCTCCGAAGTCAAATAATATTATTTAGGTGATATGGTCGTTAGATAGTATGTTCTTGCACAATAAATTCCAAATCTTAGTTGAAACTATAACTATGAGTTATGATGCATTATTTCTTGTTATAGGTCAAGTGGTATCAGGTTACTCTGTCCGTCGGTCCACGCGTGGTGATCACTGGAGTCTGATAGGCAAGAAAGACCCTCAGCTGCCGCAGATGTTCTACCCAGTGGTGGACACCACGCCTCTACGTAAAGGAGACGTCCTCGCTGCTCGCTGCACCATGAATAATACACACAATTACCCTGTCAAGATCGGGTAAGTTAACAATTTACACAAGGTTACCAAACTTTACACATAGACCCCATGCGAAATTTTACTAGTTTCACTAATACACTGCTGCTTTTAATATAATATTAAAAAAACATAATTAGTATCCTATGTGTTCTTCTAGACTATGTTCTATATCAGTCTGTCCCAAAGTGTGCGATAACGCCCCCTTGTGGGCGCTGCAGGTCTCAAGTTGCGGGTAAAATGATTATTTAATTTTCCAGACCAACAAACAAGGATGAGATGTGCAACTTCTATCTGATGTACTGGGTGGATAATGACACCCCTCTGCAGAGGAAGTACTGCTTCACCAACGGACCCCCCTACTACTACTGGGAGAACGCACCCGAGGGTTTCAACCTCATACCGGACAGGGACGCGAGCCAATTGTAAGATACAATTTTCAACTCTAACATCTTAGTAATAGAGTTTAGTTTAATGATTATAGGTGTTGTATTCCATTCATATAAAATAACAGTGGATCTAAACTTCTATGGGAAGGTACTATGCGACCACAAAAACATGAGACTACTGTGTTACTTTAAATAGTGAATTTAAAGTAAAGATATGACGTCATTAAAATCTCATGTTATAGATAAGTATTATGGAATTACTAAATTAACTTTTTGGTCTAATTATTGTATGAATTTGAACTTTTTTTTGTTTGAGATCTGATAAATTAGGTTTATAAGTGACTGAATTGTATTTAATATCATATAATTTGTTTAATTTTTTTTTCACAAAAAAATATCTTACGAATATTAAGATATTAAGAAACTAAATCAATTTTTTTTTTATCTAAAAGTTGTTTACGTGTTACGCTTTTATTTAAACGCTTTGAAGAACCTCAAAAAACAGAAGATCTGATATCAAAATAGACATTTGTGCCAAAAATTTTGTGAATGCAATAATAAAGATGCATAAGAGAAATATTTTTTAACAATACACAAGAAAAAGTAAATTAAAAAACTGTAAAATACTATATTTTTTAAACATATTTAGTTTTTTAAAATTATCGTTTAAAAAATATTTTTCGAAACTATATCTAACAATTTTTTTTTATCAATGCGCCATTTTAAACCAAATTTCTAGTCAAATAATTTGTCTTAACTATCGCCTAATTAAACCATAAATAAGAAATTAATACCGATACGACGCAAATAATTTAACTTTAGACGAAATAAATGTAAAAAAAACATTTATAATAAACATATATAGACATGAATCCTTAAATGTGACAAGTAAATATCTATTCGATTCAGATTTATATCATATCTTTATATATAACAATACATAATATATTATTTATATGATAAGTTTTAAACATAGTAATGTATACGACTTGGCAAACTCAACTGGACTCCGATCTGTGTAAATAAGAATCTTTATATCTATAGGAATAACATTTTTAGTCGAAATCAATGAAAATGACAAATTATAACCACTCTAAACAATTTTATCTTCATAAGTCTGTAATCATAGGCTTATTAAAAAAAGACATGTTTATGTCATCAACTTAAATAAATACTTTTTAAAATAAATCAATAGTATTGACAGCCAGTGACATGACTTTGACATTGACATGTGGATTTTTTTTTATTTTCATTGAATTCGACAATAGACATTTTTATGAGTAATCTAATAGCTTTAAGACGTATAAATGAGTTTATCTTGGATTATGCTAGCAGTATTATTTCATTATTTTGCAAAGTTTCGATTCCAAATATAATAAACTTTGAAGTACAATTAACGTCACGGTTCTTAAAATGTCTGAAATTAGCAATTAATTGAAATGTACTCTATCTCGCTCACCCATATACGTTTATCTCGCTCTTTCGGTGCATATTACTAACGTAGGGTTGGCGAGTAATGTTTTGGATTATTTTTTTTTTCTAAATGGTCTAATTTCAGATATTCAAATATCCGTGATGAGTACTTATATGTATAGAAATTTAGAATGACTTCATATTTTTTAATAAATTTTTACAAATATACGGCTTAAGTTAATGTTAATTTTATATGTTTTTCTAAAAATAAAGCGTATCTTAAATACTGTTATCAAAAAATATAATTATATGTACATAACTTGTTAAGGTTGTTTTCGATCTGTTTACGTTGCATTAAATAGCGGCCATATTATATTTCTATTCTTATACAAATGTGCTATTGCAACAAAATATCTGCGGGTTTCCTTTGTCGAAACATTGTTCAGAAACTTGTTTCGATATTTGAATTTCATACTAAATATCTCCAATACAAAGGCTGATTAAAAAACATATTTCGCATTTTTTTTTTATTTGGAAACTGCATACAAATCTAATATTTAAAACTTGGTATAGTTAAACTTTGTATTATTAAACATTCCAATTATTTAAGAGTATATTTTTTTAATTTTTTCGAATATTTTTTTTTTCAAAAATCCTATAAACAGAAATTAATATGTGTTATTTGAGAGGTTCTTACTAGTCTACTCCGAATTGTTATATATAATTTTAATGACTCTTAATGTATTTAAATATTCTTTTAATGTCTAAACCAAAATATTATCTTAAAATTTTTATCGGTAATTAAATTTAAAAAAAAATCCCTTTAAATATTTGAAGCTATTTTACTAAAGGAATTGTCATATATAGATTGTATTTTATATACATCTTACACAAAAAATCTTTTAAAAAATGATAAAAAAATCTATTTATTTTTTTCATATTTTGAAACCTAAAAAAATATTAATTATTTTTAATTATTAATATTAAGGTCACTATAACCTGTACTGTAAAATACGGCAGCTACTAGAATATAAATAAAAACCAAAAAAAAACAGATAAATCATCGAAATATCAAGTTGAGAATATTCATTGGACCATTTTTCAAACGTTCCGATTCGACGTACCATTCCGATTTTCATACGTTTGTAACTTCTTGTGTTTCTCTGCACATCGAAAAAATACGAAAAAATCTGTTTTTTTTTAAACTATTATGTTGTCAACTTTAGTGAATTAATTTATACCATTCTATTTAGTAAGTTAAGTTCTAGAATTTTAAATTTCTAATTTTACTAATTGTTTTTTTAGATTTAAAATAAATTGCAATGTTAGAAAAAATATATAGCAACCCTTAGCGCACATACACACGCACTTGTATTTTTTTTTTTTTTATGTAGTATTTTTAAACTTTAAAATAATTTGTCTGAATCATTACGATGTGCTAGGAACAGCACAAAAATAACAGATCCCTATTCCTATAGTCGTTTCCTATGTATTATATGAACATAGTGAATCATATCGGTGTTGTAGTACTTAATGTTGCAGAATTGTCGCTGACCAAATAAAAAAAAGGTATCGATGAGTTTCTATGGACCGAGAAGGATATTTGACTTGATGGGCATAGATCAAACTGTGTGATGGCTCACTAGCGCCCTCCAGTCTAGATGCAATGTTAAAATGCGTCCCAAGATTCTTTTTGTATTGTAAAATTTAGTTTTTTTTTCTTTTATGCCATTTTCTATGTCTAAATAGGTTTTATATTACTAAAATACTAACCGCGATAGCAACGCCTCTCATCAGGCGAGATATTCTTGTTTTACTAAACTTTTTTTACCAGTTAAATAAAAAAATCAAACTGGCAACTTATAAATTGAAATTGTATATTTTTTATAGATTAGTAAAAGGGTTGTGTTTGATAGATTAGGATTTCTTATTTTGTCTATCGGGGTTGTGTAAAAACGAAAAAAGTTTTTTTTATTTTTATTTTAGAGTAAACAGCGATAATTCTGTAACAGATTAATGAATAGAATAAAAAATTAAGAAGTTATGAAATAACTATATCTGAATTGTGTAAATCTATTTGACTATTTACAAACTATATCGATAAAAACGTATTCTTAATGTAAGAACCTCGACTTCAATACCCAGTAGATGTGAAATGCAAAAATAAAAAATAATAAAAATATGTTTTAAATGTTTGTTTTATTAACCTTACTTGTAATTCTAACAATATTTGGAAAAATAAAGACAATAACTTTTAACACACCTTAAAATATTACTTTTAGAGATCTAGGACAAGTGTTATTAAAAAACTAGTCATTTTTTTACTTTTTTTAGCGATTTAACAGAAGAAGTACTGATAGCTACTATGTATTTTTTATTTCGTATTTTTTTTTATTACAAATAAATGCGACCTCTAAAATTAAAAAAAAATATTATATCTACTTAATGCGAAAAAAAATCAGGAATATATTTTTGTCGTATTTACAATCTCTTTCATTCTAAAAAAAGGTTCTTAACAGACAGACGGACGGACAACAACGTGATCCTATAAGGATTCCGTTTTTTTCCTATGAGGCACGGAACCCTAAAAATAGATAATAATTTGTTTAAGAATATGTTTTTCGGCAATGTATACGTATATGGAACTTAATAATATACAGGCCACGTAGACGGTCGGTTTGCTTGTCAATCTATCGATCGTGCATAGAAAATTATCAAAGCTGAATTATTCCGTCTACATCTTTGTCAGTTAATTACAGGTTACAGGAAGGGGAATAAGCGATCTTGCAACGTCAAAGCCGGTTAATAATTTTATTTAATACATCGCTATATCTTTAAATGAGCAATTCCTGTATATATATAATTGGAATCTCGGAATCGGCAACAACGTTTTTATAAAATTTAGTATACAGGGGGTTTCGGGGGCCATAAATCGATCTAGCTAGGAATCATTTTTAGAAAATGTCATTTTATTCGTGTTTTATCGATAATCAACATAAACATAAACTTTTTCTATCGGTAAGATCGAAAAATATTATTCATATTTCATCATTTTATTAGTAATTCGTACTTAAATATAATATCCAAAAAACACAATTAAAAAAAAAATACCGAGCAAAGCTCGGTCATCCAGGTACTGGGAATTTAAACACGGTACATTAGATACTTTACTTGTAGCCGCCTTCGTACTTGACGTCAATATTTAAATCTACATCAATGAAAAGACGCTAATACGAAGATGAAAATAACTCGGACACCAGCACCAACGTTTGAGATTAGAATTGTAATTCAAGTGGCTATTTACTCATAGTTATTGAAGTAAGTTACATGTATAGAGCGGCCAAGCGCGTTTAGGGTGACCAATGATAGTGAACGACTTGGTTATAGTTAGAAATTATATAACAAATCAATTAGGTATATACGGTTGTAAAAAAGCAAAAGTATTCCTCGTGCCTTTTTCTTTTAAATAAAAAGCGAATTAATTCTAAATAATGCATATGTAACACTTTTCGTTACGTAATAATACGCAAATCGGCTTCCGAGCAACACTTTGTGTTGTAATCCGTGCGAAGCCGCAATATTGCACGCCTCCGCCTCCAGGCACGAGCCACGATCCGTGCGAGGCGCCAGCCGACCTCCGTCACGAGGTCTGTCCACACACACGGAGCTAACAAACACTAATTATGTTACACTGTTCAATTACGAATTAAAGTTCAAAAACTTAGGCACCACAACTTTTTTTGGAATGTCAAAAAAGAGTAAAACTTTCTCGATTACTTACCTAAGTATGTCAGATATTCTATCTATAGCATACAAATAATTATATCTGTAAATTGTACTACTGATTCCAAATATATAAATGTATTTTTTAATCTTAAATCTACTTCGTCACTGTAAAAACACAATAAATAAATCAGA